TATCAATCAGTCTGAAATTCGTTTCGGCGTGGTTTGATAGATGGCAGCACACGATGACAACACCAATTTCCCTCAGGAACGTCCTCCGTCTTCAAACACGGGTACTCATTGAACCGCCCTCGTATTGCATAACATAAAGACAAAGAATGGAATTGCGTATCTACATTTGTTACTTTATATAGATACACATGTATATGCACAAGAAGGTAAGGAATCGCAGAATAGTGCCCTTTGATGTCGAAATCATGAAGTGACGTGCAGTCATGAGCAAAAATATCCCAGACAGAAATGCTTTGTTGCGCTCTGCCCAAATGAACCTGCGACATCTCCGAAATACATCATGCGAATAAATCGCAGTCTTTCGACAAATGCCGATCCAACAGCCGACAGGCCTAAATCACAATAGCTCAAATTTTACCTGTATCTACCGGCAAATCTACTACAAACTTCTAACCATGCATTCATTTGAACTGAAATGTGCAAAATGTTTTTTTAAAAGTATTTAAATACAAAATGCGAATACTTTTTTGATCTGTTGTTATTTCAAATGTAAAATACGAAATAGATTTTTCTTTTGTATCTTTGCTAAATGCAAAATACATATTTTCAAAATACTTTTTTCAAATAAACACTTTTTTGCAGTACCTATTTAATATTCTACATTCACGTAAGTATAAAACATTTTTTAAGAAAACTTTGCAGGCATTTGCTTATTTTTTAAATATTGAAGTTTTAGACTAACAGTGGTGTTTGCACTATATCACCAGCTGCGAAGATTAAATATCACTCATATTTTTCGCGTTGAAGTGATTGAGATGAAGTGAGATTTTTCTATCTTTATATTACAGTTTCTTCAGTTCAGCAACAAATAATTCTTCTATATGCTTCCTTATTTGCCTTGGGAAAAAGACACTGATGCCAAAATAGTTTGTTTAGCATGAAAGATCAGAGCCAAAATAGGGTTCCAAATAATTTTATTGATGTAAAATCAACATCAATCATTTTGTATCTAAATATTTACAACCCAATTTTGCTTCTGATCTTTGACACATTGTAATAAGAGAAAGACAGGAATCCATACTTTCTTTAGCTTTGGGAACATCTAATAAGTGAAGGTTTTCGAATCGTTTTCTAAGAATTTTGGATTATACGCATTTATTAGGACACCACAATATCTTGTAATTTTCAGTTTTACACAGCTGGGGTATATCAATTTGATATTGGTTTGAGGGCTGTTTTGTCGTAATTCACAGAATTTCGTAGTTCCTTGCTAAACGTACGATAAGTGGTGATTTGGCATGTGACAATATGAATTTGTAACTTCAAAATTCCATGGACCATGACATTGAACCCGAAAAACAATATCGACCCAATATTTTAGATTATTCATTTCCAATTCCCCAAGAATTTCAGGAGCTCTCATGAGTTAACGAATTAGAATGTAGCTTTTATTTTGTATTTGCATTATAAATGCAAGTATTTCAAATAAATCACATCTCTGCTTCCAGTAGGTAAAAAAAGTTTTTATCTGGAGTCCTACTTATGCGTAATTACCATGTTTCGAGGTTTGTCTAACACATATCTGGGTAAACCTTAGAAGACTGCGGGGTTCCGTGTCAAGCAAAGCTCGTAATGTAGCACTTCGTCTGGAAGAATCCGACAATACGCGGTTTTTTATCTTTGTAATGGGCTTTAACGCAAACGTATTTATACTTATGTGGTCGTGAATGATATCAATTGAAAAGTACGTGTGTCTATGTTGACACAAATGAGAAGCATCTCTGAAAGTACAGGGATGTTTTTGAGTAAAACTCATGATTCAGCAATAAAAAAAAAATAAAAAAACGACATTCGATTATATTTTTTATAGATTTGATTTCTTTGATTAGCATATACATAAATAATAATAAGACGTCAATTAACCTTCGGAGGAACCGACCATGAATGAACTTTCATTTCACAACAGTTGTAACTGTGGCATAGGTTAATAAATTGTTCTGTAGTAACCATTGAAAAAGATGATTTCTGTGTTGCGAGATTGTTTTGTTTTGTTTTTTTTTGTGCGTTTCTATGTCGGAACGGTGTACGAGGTTTTAAGAAAAAGGTCAAGCGTTTCAGTGTCTATTATTAGCAAAAGGAAGTTGCATGATGTATTGAAGCCAGGAAGTTTCTTTGCTAGATTTTGTGGCGAAAGCGAAAAATTGTTACAAGAATTCGGCGATTTCGTAACGATTTTCTGACGCACAAGAATCGCTGCCTTCATAGACTGTATGGCGCTGATTTCGTAATGAAAAGGCCGTGACGCATATTTTCAATTTCTATGAAGTTAACACACTCATGGGTAACAATAGGGAAAACGATAGAAAAAAGAAATAGTGCGTATATAGGATTTGTAGATTTAGAAAAAGCTTTTGACAATGTTGAATGGGACAGGGTGATAAATATACTTAAAAATGTAGGGATTAGATACATAGATAGAAGAGTGATACTTAGTTTGTATAAAGAGCAACAGGCAGTTATAGAACTGGAGCAGCAACGTAGGAAGACAGACAGGGATGCACACTCTCACCGCTACTTTTTAATCTATACATCGAAGACGCGATCAACATCATTAAAAACAGGGCAACTGTAGGGATAGATATACAGGGGCAAAAGATTAGTAAGTTTAGATTTGCACATGATATAGCAGTATTAGCGTCTAACAAGGACGAGTTAGAGATAGCTTTAAATAAAACGGAAGCGGTATTGACAAAATAGTATTGTATGAAAAAATAAATAAAAGTAAAACTAAAATACTGATATGCAAGGGAAGAAAAAGTAGGGAAAGAGCGAATATAAAGATAGGAGACGAAAAACTAGAAGAAGTCAGATAAGTCAGGATGAAAGGAGTAGTAGGGATATAAAACAGAGGATATCGCAGGATCGAGTTGCCTTCAACAAAAGGAAGTCACTTCCATGCTTGTGAACGGTTAATTTAGAAATCCGAAAAAGATTGTCAAAGATGTATGTTTGGAGCGCGGCACTGTACGGGTGCGAAGCATGGTAAGTTATAGGCGGATGATGAGGATAACGTGGGTAGAAAAGGTTAGAAATGAAGAGGTATTAGAAAGAATAGGAGAGCGGAGGACTCTATGGATGTCAATAAGAAATAAGTGAGATACGTTGGTAGGACACCTTCTCAGGCATGAAGGGCTAGTCAGAGACATATTAGGGGCAGTAACGGGAGTTAGGAGGGGTAGAGGTGGACCTAGATTAAAATTAGTGTTCGTAAGTAATTAAGGATGTGGATTGTTCTAGTTTTAGAGAATTGCCGAAGATTAGCTTAGAATATGAAAGAGTGGGGGTGCGTGTCCAACCAGTCCTAGGACTGACGACCTTGATGATGATGATTATGATGGTGCACTCACGTCGGAAAATCACAAAAAGATTTAAATAAGAATTTCATGCTTTGATTAATGCTAATGTAGTGTTCCAATTAAAATTTTAGTTATATGAAAATTAGTCATGCTACCTTAGTAGCACACCCACGCTTATCATAAGCATCATTCCATCACTCATTCCCATCCGAAGCTAATTTTCGCATTTCCCTAAGACTAGAACATGCCATCCTCGTAAGGTTGTCAGTCCTAAGATTGGTTGGAAACGCACCTCAACTCTTCTTATTTTCCGAAAACTAAAATCTCTCATGCACATCCTTAATTATTTGTGAACGGTAATCTAATCTAGGTCTACCTATGTTCCTCTTAATTTCTTTTTCTGCTTCTAACATGTCTCTGACCAACCCTTCATGCATGAGAAGGTGTCCTACCAACCTGTCTCTCCTATTTTTTATTGACTTCCATAGAGTCCTCTGTTCTCTTATTCTTTCTAATACCTCTTCATTTCTAATTTTTTCTATCCACGGTATTTTAACCTTTCTTTTTCCCCATGCTCACCGTCCATGCTTCGCACCCATACAACGCCCTGCTCCAAACATACACCTTTAACAACCTTTTTAGAATTTCTAAATTAATCGTTCGCGAGCATAGAAGTGATTTCTTTTATTGAAGGCGACTCGACCCTGCGCTATCCTCTGTTTTATATTTCTACTGCTGGTACCATCCTGAATTATGTGACCGAAAATCAGCGACTGATCAATTCTTTCCCTAGTGGTTACATTTCAACGATGAAACCCAAGCAAGCGAAAGGGTTGAAAACTGTTTAGTTGTTTACATAAAAAAAAACGAAGTACACACGTATTTGTTTTTTNACATATATATTTATATTAGATTTCGACGGTTTTCGGAAATTAAAACATTTCTGGGTGAATCAGACACCAGCCGAGCGATTTGAATGATTTAACTTTTCGCCTATAAATACAGTAAGCAATATAAATAAATTCCACTTTTGGACTAAGCTTGAAACTTTTTAAACTGATGTTGATCTATTTATACGATCGAGGACCGCGCTTTTCTGAATATTTTATCCGATTTTATCGAACGGTTTAAAAGATACGACAAAAATTAAATTTTCGATTTGCAGTCGTACCACGGGAATTTATCTCCTATCATAATATACTACCCTCTGGAACTAACTGGATATCAAAACGTTTAAATAAAAGATAGGCCTTTTTGAAATTGGAAATTTTGACATACTCGAATTAAAAATAAACATTTGGGAAAATGAGCGGGATTAAAAGTGTGTACGGTTGGTTGCATACATGCGATATGAAAATATCGCCACCGATAGGGAGTACAACCGTCCAAATATGGACGGGCTCAACTAGTATAATGAATAGAATCCGACTAGATTCAGATTGCATCATAGACCAAATGGTAGTAAAAATCCTTCCTGGAACTGCAACAGCCGGTATCCGGTTCGGAATTATAGAGAGCTTAAGAAAGGAAACGGAACAAACGCTTTCGATTATTATTATTTGAAGGAGTCCAGTATGCAGAAATACCTTCGTAGTAGACACCTTTTATAGATTAGATACAAAAAAAAACATATCGAAAACAGACCTGATTTACTACTTCAAATGGAACTCCTTTGGTCGTTATCAAAGAGGACTGACTACTCTGAAGATGGTCAGTGTAACCAAGTCCGTAAAAAGCGCGTACCGGTATCCTCGGTAGACTGGCTGACGACGACGCTCTCTCCACGGCGACGATACAAGTCCGTCCCGTGACGTCTCTTCACAAACAACAAAAAGAATAATAAAAAACCCAAAGAATACGGGAATACAAGAAAGTCGCACAAACTCGACGTGTATTTTTACGAACGAATAAGTGAACAGGCGGCGCGACGGCTACAACACTTTATTACAGAAATACTCGGAGATCGCGGTTGGCATCGACACTAGCGAAAAGAACAGTGACGAGTCAGTCTGTAAAAGTCGGCTTTAATATACGGAGAAGGTGTTACGTCACAAAGTGGGGGCCCGACCGCCGTCGTCGTGCCGCCACCGCCACCGCCGCCGCCGACGTCGTCGGTCGTTTTCCAACAAACATGAACGACTACAACGACGATGGTGACATCCTTCCGATCCATCTGTATCATCTCCAGTGCAGGGCCTACCTTAAAATTCACTCGTCACCCATCTCTGTTGCTTTTATTGTTACAGGTAGATACACTTTTCTTATCGTCAGTTACTTAGTTGATTGACGTGGTGTGAGATTAGTCCTTTGATGAAAGTGCGCGTGAAAGGACCTTGGCAGCCTAGCGTGAAAGGAACCGACCGAATTGGGTAGGATCACGACTAAAAATAAACGCAATCGCCAGTAAAACTGCTAAGAAGTTGCGTCAGCTGAAGTCGATGCCACGATGAGGGGTTGTCATTTGAATCAGTAGGTACCAGAGGGTGAAACATAAAGAGGCTGATGCAATATTAAGTAAAAGTATCGAAATGTGCCATATCCGTCTTGATTACCGAAAGCATCTCCCAGACCAAGATTTTCTTAGGATAAAGTGTAAAGCAATGCAATTGGGGGATGAAATTTGGAAGGTCGTCTTGTTAAGGTACGCCATATTAGCAGACTAATGTCATTTTTTAAAAATTTCCATCACATGACAAAACCTAAATCAGATCTAAACACCGTACTAATTAGATGCAACACATCGACATTATTCAATCATCGAATATTTATCCTTACGTGTGTTTATTTGGATTTTTCTTGTGACCTAGACTAAGAGGCCTACCAACTTTTGATCGTCGACCGTGATCAACTGTCAGATCAACGATTTCATTTTTCATTCGATCTATCCCATGTGCCCACCCCAATGTAGTATTTCCGGTATAAAAAATTAATGGTAGAAATTTTTTTTTGGCAATGGAGTGTGTTTCTACGCGAATTGGATAGGACTACAACTAGCAGATAATAAACACAAATAAAATTGCTAAGAAGTTGCATTAGTTTTCGCTGGTGAATCGATTCCATGATAAGGGGTTGTCATATGAATGAGCACAAGAGGACGAAACGTAAAGACAAAGAGGCTGATGCAATTTGGGCGTAAGTGAGGAAATACTTGCCGCATTTTGAGACATGACATAACTGCAAATTCAGAAACTTGATTTTTAGTCTTTATGGTACAAATGATTTTTTTGGAAATTCAATCACCTCAATCGCTAGACAACGGAAGTCAATTTCTAATACCTCAGCAATTAATTTCAATTTGGTGTTTAGGCGTTACTAAAATTTAGTTTCGAAACTTTCTGTTTTTTTGTTCAACCAGGGCCTATTATAGTTTTATGGATTTAAATTTAGTCGTTTAATTTTCATATTTGCTTTCGTGAATTTTCTTTTGTAGTATCATTCAACTTTTCGCTTGACTATCTGTTCAACAGTTCGGCTTTCACTTCCAGATGATATGACTTAGATCTAACAGAAGGATTAACTTAATAAACTGTCATTTTCTTTGTAATATTTTATGGGTTCGAACGTGTTATGAGAAAAGAATGGCATAAATTGCTTTCACTTTGGTTTTCCATTCGTACATAATAAATATACTTATTAGTATTTACTGCAATTAAAAATACATAAAAATAAATTGGTGCATGTGCTCCATTTCTATTTCATAGACATGGGTACTAGTACGGTTTAAAGACCTTTTCCAATATATGTACACGTAAATTTTGCAAAAACCTAACCACCGCTGGTTAAAGACCAATGATATTACACATTACACCTTAGGATTTAATTGTCAATTCGAAAATGATGTCGTTCAGTTTTTAATATTTAATGAATCGTTAAGTTATCTATATCAGTACACACGGATCCTACATATCATCAAAAAATATAAACAACTAATAAAAACCTACACTCAAATCTCCTACCACTCTACATGGAGCTTAAACCATCAAGTAGGTACAATGTAACTAAATAACCAATTCTACCAAACAACTCCTAAGCAGAAACAAACAAGACAAAGTAAAAGCACAAAGGGTAAAAATAAAAAAAAACCTCTCCCGTCCTCACCGGTAATCCTAGATAGAAGGTATCATTTGAACCAAACCCTTTTTTTTTAATTATACTTTTTAACAGTCTTACTTACTTAATATTCTCCTTACAATAATCGAAAACTTTACATTCCCCGTATCCACCTAGCACATGCATCGTTGTTTCATCTCCCCTTTCACATATTCTGCATACCCTTTCTTCTTCCTTCATCCAACGCCTACGCTTTGTGCTTTCATTTTCCACTCTAAACCTATCTATTACGTGCTCATCCTTCATTCCATTCAAATAATCTGGTATACAGTCTCCCTGTCAATGCTTCCATAGCAGAGCTTTCATACATTCCACATATCTTGATTTATCAATACTTCCCTCCTTAACATCTCATTTCATCATATCTTTACCATTTCCTTCACAGATACTGCCATTCTGCTTCAATTCATTTAATTGTTCCTGATTCAACTTCAAATCTTGTAAAGGTTCCTCCCTTTCTTTATTATACCTGTTTTTTGTTCCAGTTTTTAAAATTCTTCTCCATAACTCATTTCTTATATTCCCATCCCTTAACTTTTCTAGTTTTATCTCATAGTTTACCACCCTTCTCTTGGTTTTCTCTACCATCTTTCCACATTTTAATTCTCATTTTAGTATACATATTATAAAAAAAATGACTTGACTCCATTTGATTTTCTTGTATAAAACAGTTAACGACGAGAAAACAGTAACTACACGTGTACCCCTAGAGACGAGAGGGATGACTTATTATTATTACGTCTACATTACAGGGTCGCATATACGCTCTCTTAGCATTTCTTGTTATTAATTGTAAAAGCAATTGGCATTTGTTAAATTTAAAGTGGAAAACCACATTGAAAGTTGTTGGTTCGGAATTAAAAGAAATCTCTTCATTTACCTCGTTTGTTTCTTACAATGATCAGACAGTTAAAAATACATGAAGCGTAAAAAATGTTTACATACTGATCCACATACTAAACCTACATACATACAATATGTATTTACAAAACGCAGTCTTCGACCATAACAGATTCTTACACAAACCGTTTCGCGGCCTTGTGTTTTTCTTCCTTTTCTTTAATGGCGATCGTTTTTTCTTCGCAGAGCAATGAATCCACTCGACCATAACCTACGCCACCGACGAGTTAAAAGTTAGTGATCCACATAAACCTATTCCTATCTCGTACTTGTATCAAGAGATCAATGGCGACCGTGCGAAGGTAAGCTTTCAAGTTTTCTTTTTCAATGAAACAATTATTGTAATATTATAGCGTATATATGTATGTAATAGGTATGTTGTCGACAAGTACATAACTGACGTATTCTGTAGAATGCCTAGTCTTTATACGTAATGCCGGTCAAAGCGCCAGTGTAAGTAATAAAATAAAAAACAAAGGACTTCGCTAGATCCTTACGAAAAATGGTCCTTCGTCAAACTCTTTGAAACTTTGGATTGTTTCGTTACAAGTATCCGTCGTATAAACTAAGAGTCTGTGTTTTTGTGAAATTGAAGCAAATTCTTCATAATTCCTGTCCTTTTTAATCAATTTTCAGACTTTGACGCGCAAAATTTTACACTTTACAATGGTTCAAGTCAGTTTTAATTTATATTTTATACAAAAGCGCAACAGGTGAAATGTATTTATACTTTCGTAAAATCAAATGAGAAATTTCATAATTTTGTCTTCTTTTTGACCAATTCTCAAAACAGACGCGTAATATTTCGCTTTTTGCATTAGTTCAAGCCAATTTTAATTGGTAAGATATAAAAGAGTGACAGGGTGTCAAAAAGTGGTGGTTCATAATTTTATATTACAGTGTAAACTCTTCATAACGTCACTCGATTTAACGACAAACCCCTTAAAACGTCGAAATTGCTTGATTTTGGTTGGTTTACATTGTTTTCTATACAATATTACACTCTATATGGCATCACGCTCACTCTATTTAACGACAACAATGAGGCAACAAAAATCATTAAGCAGTACTTTCTAAGTTACCGAAATAGATAAGAACTGCAGCTGTGTACGTTGTTGAAGAAGACGATCCTGTCCCTCCACCAAGCATCAAACAAGCACTTGATGCAGCGAAACTATTAAAAAAATACTTTTTATATAATCAAATTGATCCAGCAGTATCTCA